TTTTTTATTTTATATATATTCGAATTCAAGAACTAAAATCAAATGATCAATTTTCCAAAGGGTGTGCAAGTGTTCTTCTCAATTGTGTTAAGGGTATACAAAATTAAATATACGCTCATGATAGTCACCGGACAAATTCATTTGCCTAAGGTGCATCCACCCATGCCTTTGCTATACTACCAGATTGAGGATGTAATTGGATAACATTTCTAGGTTATTTTGAACAATGTCCTTTTGATTTTTCTCTTTTTGAATGGCTAACTTGTTTTTTTTTTTTCCATCTATTAAGTAGAATTGCTAAGTTTTATCTGGTCCTCCAAAATTTTTATTACCTTGGATGCTATGCATATTACTTAAGTTTGTCTTAATATGAAACCTCAGATATCTTCATGCCTCTATATTAAGTTAAGTTTAGTGCATTAAACTGTGACAGCTTTAACATAAAATAGAGTTGTTATACTTTGTCAGGATAAAAGTTAACAAGTAAGCCTCTTTAAAATGTTCGATTTGTAATCTTAAAAATAAGACTTGTTGCCAGCTATAATAGATAAAGGTGACTTGATATTGTAAAATCTTTTACACTGAATAGTGTGTACTCATTTGTGTATTAAATTATACCAGATTTGCAATGTAGAATTCAAAATACTAATCAAACATGAGCAAAACTGTCATATTTTATTCCATCTACATTCTAATACATCAAGCCAAACGAACCCTAAATGTGCGAAATTACTTCCTTTCACAAAACCAAATTAGGTTTTGTGAAATCCAATCTCGACGAAAAAAAAAAGAATCCAATTTCTTTTCTACATCTAACTTAGTATCTACAACCAAAAAAGAATTTTTTTACATAGCAGAGTGAAGAAGCAACTTGGACCTATTCCACCTATGTCTAACACTACCAAAAACATCATAATATTTGATCTCTGCCTCTGTTGGTGTCAACTCAACAGACATGAAACCTTGTCCATCATGGAAAAAATGTACATCATCTCTATTTATTCCTTTAGTATCTCCTCTCCATGCCTTTGAACCCGCCCCACTTACTAAAAATTGCAATGGGCTGCAACATCAAAGACAAAAATTAAGATCATGTTGCTAAAATTAAGGTCATTTTGCAAGATTTGAAGTCTAGTCTTACCTTTCAGTATCGCTAATATGTTCAAGACAGTGATCATGTCCGTTCATGTAAAAATCAACATCGTACTTCTGTAGTTTCAAGAGGCAAATCAATAACGCTATATTCGAGTCAAAAGCAATTCATAGGTGTGAATGAAAGAGAGAAAAAGTTACCCTAAGAATAGGAAGAAAACGATCCACAAGTATCTGAGTGTCACCGTGATGTCCTGCACTTCTAATGGCGTGGTGACCTAGTACAATCTTCCATTTTGCTGTCGATTCACTCAAGGCCTTTTTGAGTTCCTAATAAAAAACAATCATTGAAATTTTATAAAATCATGAACTTGAAATTAAAATGTATGAGAAATGATTTTTAGACTAATATTTATGAAGTCTACATTCAACTTACTTTTAATACGTTAGCCATGTATGTTTGTCTAGGGAGCACACCACGCCAATCGTAGATATGATCCTTAGGAGTTGTGAAATATTTCTCCTCAAATGGAGTTGTATCCACCATGAATATTTCAGCAATTTCTTCAAAAAATGAAAAATGGAGAATCAAAATCAGAACGACGAACATATAAAGTTGATTAAATTATTTAACAAGAGATCAATTTTGTACCTGCATTAACTACGAAAGACCTTAAACAAACCCATCTGCTATCAATTTTCCTAAGGTAAGGACTGAGTTGTGCTTCTACATCTCCTCTGTAATCGTGGTTGCCTAATACTGCGCAAAAAAAAAAAAAAAAATCTCAGACCAATTCAAATGTTAGAACCTTCAGTATGGGCTAGACAGACCTATATTTACAGCTCTAGTCAGAATAAAATTGTACTTATTTTGGGAAACTTACCGCTGTACCATTGTTTTTGTAAGCTCTTTGCTGTGTATATGTTAGTAAATGATTCTACAAAATTTGAATCATGTATTCCTGTCAATCCGTTATCATAGAAATTGTCACCCGTTGATAATACAAAATCAATGTCTAACTTCTCTCCGACTCTTTCCATCTGTATATAAATTTTGAAATGAGTTAATCACACGATTCATTAATAAAATTGACGAAAGACAAATAAAATAGAAATGGTACCTGGCGAGCTACGTGAGATTGATTATAAGTACCCCTTCGTCCCCAGTCACCAATAACCAAGAAATTAAGAGTACCATCACCTTTAGTAGGGTGATCAAATTTCTTAAGCCTAGTAGATGCACTTGCACTAGAGATAACAAAAACAATGGCTACCAAAAAGCACAGAACCATGGAATTCTTGGAAAATTTTGCCATGGTTCTGTGTTAGGATTTGACAACAAAGGAAATTGAGAAAGAAGCACAAGTTGTTATACTTCAGTCCCAACCTCTTTTTTTTTTTTTGATTTTTTTGATTTTTTTGATTTTTTTGGTATTTGAATATACTAAGTAGATGTAATTTGATGGATATAACTTTGATGAATGAAATATTTATAGGAGGAAAATGGGAATGAAAGTGGGAGTATGAGTGGGAAAGCTAGAGAATAGGTATAAGCAAGGGAATAGAATGAAAAGTTCTTGAAAACCTTATGTTTTTACCGAATTTAGAGATAAAAATGAAACAATAAATCGGATCAAGAAAAGATAAATAGTGATATTTCTATTTATAATAATGAAAAAATTATTTTAACTTGATAGCAAAAATTATTTCTTTGAAAATTTGAATACAAATCCTAATAAGATGATATGGATAAGATTTATGAATTTGAAGCTAATTAGATATGAATTAAATGAAAACTTTATGTTTGACCGAATTAATTAGAGGTACATTACGTTAGGATTAAATTTGAAAGAGTAAAATTAATAAATGCAAGTTTATATATAAAAAATAATAATTGTTCTTATTAACATGCGAAGAAGTTAATAGAAAATTGGAGCCACAAATATAATCTCCAGTCAACTAAGCGAAAAATGTGACTGGACAATAAAAAAAAAATGCATATGACATAAATATCTTTGATATTTATTTTGGTAATACACATGTAATAATTTAAGAAATCAAATTCTAGTTAGTGGTCTGTCCAACCAATGTAAGTTTTATTTAATTGATTGGATCGATTGTTTTAATACATTATACCTCTGAGTGATCCTCAATAATCTTTGTTTTTCTTTTTTCGTTGGTCATATTTGAGGTTTCAATAACCAATTAAATTCTAATAAAATCTACAAATCAATCCAATATAAATATCTTTGAAAAATAGATCTCAACAGAAAAATTGCAAAATAAGTGATTGGGTTCAAATTTTTTTTTTATTATTAAGAGTGTATTTGATATGAAAGGAAAACAAATTTTAGTTTTTTATATTTAATTGGTTAAAAACATTTTTTTATTCCATTAATATCATAGAACATTCTACAACACTCTAGCGAAAGCTAAGATATTTTTTTGCCCTTCCAAAAATTCCTGAACCTTCTGGAATATTCAGTTCAGTTTCTCTCTCAACCGCTTAAATAGCAGAAAGCTTCACAGCTTCTCTCATTGCATATACAACAAAAACTTCAGACTTCGTTAGCTATCAATATCTCATCAAAGCGATCAAAGTTAACAATGGAGAATCCATTCTACGGAAGCTATTGGTCCCAGCCAGCTCACCCTCGCTTTTCCTCAAACATGAGAGGAATGCCCGTGCAATCGATTCACCAGAAACCTGCCGGAATCAAGCCGGCCTCCAAGGTTGTCCAGATTCCGGTCCACTTCGTCAGTTCGGATCCCGAGCGGTCCGTTTTGGCCTCGGCGAAACAGAAGCCTGAGGCGGATCGGTCCGCTTCAGCGTTGAAGATCCAGAAGGTATTCAGAGGCTTTTTGGTGAGAAAAAGCGTGAAGAAAATCATGTCGATACGAAAAGAGGTGGAAGATGTTGAGCGGAAGCTTTTGTGTAGAGAAACGGCGGAGTTGATTTGTAGAGATGAAAGGGAAAGGTTGCGGGTGAATGAGACTCTGATGTCTCTGCTTTTCAAGTTGGACTCCATTCGTGGAGTTGATTCCGGTGTTAGGGAGTGCAGAAAGGCTGTAATTAGAAAGGCCATCTATTTGCAAGAGAAAGTTGACTCCATTGTTTCCGCTGCAAATCAAATTGCAGCTGAAGAGGAGAATCAATATAATGATTACGATGAGCTCTCTGAACCAGCCAATCAGACCGTAGACATCCCCAATTCAACAGGAAATCAGGAAGAAGATGGAAAATTGACAAATCAGAATGAACTTTGTGATCTGTTAGAGCAGAGTGTGGATGTAGAAACTCAAGCGGCATCAAATGATGAGAAAACACCCGTAGAGGGTGAACACGATGTAGCACCTTCGGTTGAGAAGTGCGAAGGATTGCAGGAGGTGAAGGAGGAAACGGATTGTCCAATGCATGAATGTGTGGAGGAAAGTGTGGAGAGAGGTGAAGTTGGGGATGTGACTGAAGGAGTCGAGGATGAGAAGAATGAAACAAGGTCACACAAGCTTTACGGGGAAGAGGAGAGCAGAAGGAACAGAGAGTTGATGGAGAAAATGGTGGAAAAGAATGAGAATATGATGAGAATGATGACTGAACTGTGCCAAAAAAATGAAATACAAACACGGATGCTGAATTCGCTGGCACAGAGGGTGGATCAATTAGAGAAAACTTTCCTATGTGATAGGTTGAAGACAAAGAAGAAGAAGAGGCATCCTGCTTGATTCTCTCTGTAGCAAAAATGTGATAGTAGATCTCTTTTTTAAAATTATTTTTTTTGGTGTTTTTGGTAGCCTCTTTCTTGTGCCTTTTATATTTCACCCTGTGATATTGTAATGTACTGATTGGAAAACAAAGATTTTGGAAAGTGAATATTAGAGAAATTTCCATATTGTCTAAACTTTCTTCCCTTTTGCAAACTCTTGAATATGTAGCAGTCATAGATTCATAGTGATGGCTTGTAAAGCAAGCACAAGACTCATATTATGTTACATTGCATGGTCTAAATGTTACTTCAGCTACAAGTAGCCTTGAATAATATGATTGGTGCACATATAGACAGCTACTGGTCTTTGTATCTCTTTTCTACTTCTTCAATGCTCTGAATCTCCTTGTAGTACTTGCAAACACGATAGACACACCTTCACGCACATAAAGAACACATTGTTAATGCATTAAATTATAAAAGAGGAGACACATTTTCGAAAGTAAAATCACATATAAGGGCCACAATGATTCTGTTGATGTACCAGTAGAGAAGGCATGCCGCCAGACATAGGATCACATTTCTTTGAGCCTTGTAGATCTGCACAACATGAGTGGAGACACAAACAGAAGGGAAAAGGAAGTCATAAGCCAGATAACATAACATCAATGTGCTTCTATTTCTGTGCAAGAACAAAGGGAATAAAAGAACAGGGAACAAGTGAAATCCATGCACCACGCAGCACAGTACCTCAATTATCCGGAAAATGCAAGGGTTTCTTTGCATATGGCTCAGGAATTCAGTCTTCAGCATTTACCACCGTAAATATTTTGTAATCTACAATATCTGATATGCTAGACTGATGTTTGCATATCAAGGCGATTCTACTTATCACAGGACTGAACTTAATCTGGGGACTGTCCCTTCAAGGGACATCCAATAAAAACTTAATATTAGGACTATTTCTTATTTCCAAAATGTTAAACTTAAATATCACATAAATTTAATCCATGGATTGACAGACAAATGACAATAACAATCCTACACAAGAGAAGTGGGCTGATCCGTCGTCCAATTAGCAGCCATTAATTGATCTGTCTCACCATAATGTCACCACTGAGGTACTTAAATAAAAACAAGAGGACCTGCAACTGAAATGCTTTGTTTTCCCCACTTTCATAATGTTTAAGAAATAAGCATGTTTGTGCAGGAATTTTCTTCGAACATGCTAGATGGTGTGTCAGAACAAAATACAGAAGACTTGCAAAATGGTGCAGTCACTATAGAAGGGTAGAACTAGACTAGTAACAATTGTTCCTTCAGCTGCTTCATTTCTGAAGTGGTAGTACCTTACTGTTGCAAACTCTTGGTTAAAATTTCAACCAAACGATCAAGAAATTGAGTTGAACGTTTCCTTCGGCTTGATGCATTGATATAAGGTTATATAGATTGATGAAAAAATAAGCACTTCCCCTAAATGAAATAAGTCATGGTCACTACCTTCATTCCTTGATTTGTTAGGAATTTATCTTACTTTCTGTTTATTTTACCTATTTGTGGTTTCCTAAACTACGGAAAACTTCCCTTTCCAAATAGACTTGATATCTTATATATGTCCTACTGTCACCAGTTCATCACTGGATAAGTTCATGACCAGACTACAACAAAACACTTCTCGTTATTCCCATTTTTCTAGCGCCAGCATCTAACATGTCTCTAGAGTAAACAACATATACAACTGCATTACCTTTAGTGCCATCACCTACTAGAACGGAAAAGTAAGACTTACAGAAGACCAACTTCACAAATAATCTAAGATATGTACAATTACTGATCAATCTGATTTCACCTTTTCAACCTGGATAAGATATGTACAATATCTGGTCAATCTGATTTCAATTCCACGACTATTGCTAAACTCATGCAGCCAAGAAGTAGTAATATACTTAAAGAAGAACATCTTAAACTGCAAATAATTTACTTGAAAATTCAAAATCCTTTCTAATTCGAACGAATGACAATCAAATATCACGCATATGCAACCCAAATAATCATTGCTTTATTAGCCATTTTGCACATCGGTGTATAACAATTTAGTTATATCTCAATCCTAAACTTGCAGTCTTCAGCAAATCAAACACCTCAACAACTCAACTAAACTCCACATCTAGTTACAAGCAACACAGGGTTATCAAGCAAATATCAGCTATACTTGTCCATCAAAATTGTAGAAACTAAATTGGTTACCAATCATAGAATTTAGTTGAAATGGCACTGTAGGACCAATTTTCCTTTTCATACATGCCAAACGCTTTGTTTCCACACAATTTAAACTCACCCAGTAAAAATTACTACTACACAAAATCGTTCCAAAAAAGGGGGAAAAGAAAATTTACCGATTTCTCGTAGCGGTCCCTCTCTGAAGCAGTGCAAATCTCACCCGTACACATCAATCGATGCTCATTTTTCCAATAAATATCTAAGAGAACAGCAACAAGAACAAAAATTAAGTCTCAATATCACATAATTGTAAAAATAACGAAGTAGCAAATAAAAATCGATAAGAAGCAGATAGAATACCGAGGAGCTGAAAAGCAGAGAAAGGGACGACGAAAAGAGAGGGTTGAAGGGCGAGTGAAATTAGAGAAACAAAACGAGATTTGAGAGCTTTAGGAGATGGCAATGTTAGCAGAATAGCTATTGCTGCCTCTGCTGCTACTACGTACGTCAATATCATCCATTGCAACGCCATTTTTGCTCTTTTTTGGTGTAATTTTTTCTTTTCTTCTTCGTCGGTTCCTTCGATGGGTTAACAGACACTCTTTTCTTAATTGGCAAAGTCGAAGAAGGTTCTTTTCTTCTCATCCAACTCAACTCATCTACTCCGAAATGACCAAATTCTCCTTTTTCATTTTTTTTTTGTCCTAGCATGGACTGCATTTTTTTTTAATTTCTTTTTTTTGTGTATACAGGTATACTATAGGGCAAATCACATAAATCTCACTAGTTTAGGTCTTAATTATTAAGATTTTCAATAGTTTCAAATATTACTTCATGTACCATATTTTATGCTTAGAATACATGAGTTTGAATCCATTAGATACATGTATCTGCCGAATTTTAAAATTGAGATACAAAATTTATTTATTTAAATTAATTGTTTGGAACTAATTTCCTTAATTAGAGGAGTAATTGAGGATTTTCAAAATACATAGATAATTAATTTCATTTTATTATTCTTTAAAATAGTAAATTCATTAATATTATTAATATAAGATAAAAACATGTATATCTTGGTAATGCAATTTGATTAAGTTCAAATTATTACTCTTAAAATAATAAATTCATTAATTCGATGTATCTATTATCAATATATGATGTATCCAACAAACTAAACACTTAGATACATGAGTGTCCTGCAAGTACATTTATATGTATCATAGAAGTATCTAGCATTGATTTCATGTATTTGTTATAGGTATCTAGTATTGATTTTATGTATATTATATATATATAATATTAATTTCATGTATCTTTTATATGTATCTAGTATTATTTTGATGTATCAAGTATCAATTGCATATGTTATATCCAAAAACATGTATCTCGAATACATAGTAAGCATATACATCTAATTATGTGTATCTAAATATGGAATATACAAAAGAAGAAGCATATACATCTAATTATGTGTATTTAAATTTCATACATTATATCCAAAAACATGTATCTCGAATACATAATAAGCATATACATTTAATTATGTGTATCTAAATATGAAATGTAGTTGAAACACATGAATTGAGGAACAAATCACGACTGTAGAGTATCTGTTGTATCATTAATATCATCGTGTTGTTAAAAATCATGTATCCGAAATTTAATGGTGGATACATATACATGGTCAGACACCCCATTACTAAAAATACAACTCAGATCTTAATTAAGATTACTACTTATTGGATACACATGTTTCAAGGGCTATATCAAAGTAATATTGGTACTACCAAATCCATGTCACGGTAACCAAAGAAAGCCTTAGAAGAACACCAACAAACAAAAACTCTCTAGACTACTCCCTTTGATCCTTTTGCGTTGTGGTATAACATAATCAAAACTTAGATCCATTTCTTCCGGAGACAAACAATCAAGACACACTCTGAATTAAAGTTTTCTCTACAGCAGTTACTTTGATTTGATCTAGTTATAAATGAACAATACAAAATAATATTTGAGTTCAAGAGAATTTGTCGGCCATGGTGATGATATCTTGAGAAGAAGAGAGTAGATTAGCTATTGTTGGAATGAAATACGATGAAATTCTTGAATCATAAAAGGAGGAGACATAATTGAGTGATAAATATGGGAGGGGAGAATTAAGAGATAGTGTTGATTTGGAGTGAAAGAGTTAATTAAGCAGATAATTAATCAATCCTAGTTTTAAGATATGTGGCTATCTAATAATCTAATTGTATCTTCAAACAGAGGCGTATCCAGGATTTTGAGATGATGGGTGCACTATTATAAGAAGGTTGATCTATGATATATATTAGATCGGTTCAACGTTTAGATTTTTCCTACTGAAAATTGTTAAAATTTTAAAATTATAGGTCTAAAATTAATTCTAATATATATATGTGTGTGTGTGTGTGTGTTGAATTAATAAAATGCAACAAGTGCTACCAATTACCACTTAGAGAAGTGTTATATGATTTTATAAAGAAAAATAAAATAAGATAAAAATAAAATTCAAATTTCTAACCTCGCGGAGAGAGGTGCACCAATCATAATCACATTATGTGATACTCCGAGTGTGGGTTCACACATCTATATTTCAATATTTTTAAAAAATATAACACTACTATATATGATCTCGGGAGGGAATCATGGGTTCACGTGAACTCGGTGACCCCCCCTTAGATATGTCTTTGTCTTCAAATAATATATTAATATATGGTATAAAATATTAAAAGTGGTAATATATGTAATTGTTTGAAAGTAAAGATAATATTAGTATATATAGTAGTGATGTATGTCTAATAAGGTAGTTTATCCTATACTATATTTATATATATATTTGATATGAAATATAGACTATTTATAAATGATATACATATTTCGTAAGCTAATTGAATATTAGGACTGTAATTTTTATGTATGAAGGATATGTACATTATGGTTTTTCGTACTGGTATAATATAAGTACAAGCAATATTTATTCAAAATTATTTTTCATAAAGAAATATGAATATGATTTTTTCATTTTTCTCACTTATGAATGAAAACATTTTCCTTACATTATCTTATTTAGTTTCATATCACTTGCGCCGACCTACATATTTTTTGGAGTGACAAGTAATTTTACGCTTATATTCTTAAAATAACATGAATTTGTGTACATAAAATTCCACAATTTAAGGCTAGAAAAGTATATGTTTAGCATATCAAAGTCTTAATCAGCAATATTACAATATGCAACTAAACTTGAATCACATTCCTATCTTAGTATAGTAAATCAAGAATTTCATGAAATCAAGATCAGCATAAGTCGAAAATCGTTCCTTGTCATTTCAGGATTTTCCACTTGTCATTAGACCATTCTTGAAGAAATCTCAACGCATGAGAAGTGTATGCAATGTTATCTCCAGTTGTAGGGAAATAGACATAGTACTCTTCTCCAATTATCCCACTAATAAATCCAAACCACCATCCATCATTGGAAAACACATCAACCTTATCGTATAGACGGAATGTGTTTCCTGACATTGTTTCAAGCTGATAAGGTGGAACAGGGCGGACCTCGCCTATAGTGACAAGCTCTTCTAGAGGTGCAGACTTATCATCAGTCAACAGAGTTTTGTACTTGATTTTGTAATGATAAGCGGCCTCGATAGAAACAATAGTTGCTTCGTAGTAAGAACCTATGAAGCCTATTTCGTGACTTGCCACTTCAACTTCATCGTCCTTTTGGAATAGTTTTGTTATTTGTTGTGTCTTCATTGCTATCGAATCTATTTCCTTTGAGAGCTTTTCAATTTTTGATTGGTGGCGTTGCTCTGAATTGTTTACTGACACATTGGTTGGGGCCATTTTGAGAGTAGTAGTGAAGATTGGTTCAATTGAATGAAAAGTGAGGAACTATGAGGCTTTGCAAGTGAATTTATAGGCAGAGAATTATGTTACCTTTGGTAATTAAGAATGGAGATTATTTTCCTATTTTCTTTTGCTTTCCATTTATGATAGTTTACTTCATAACTATGTAGTTTTACCAAAATATCGTTGAACTTACGAGTTTTAGCAAAAAGTCATTCAACTTAAATTAGTTTTACCAAATTAAAAAACGTTCAACTTACGAGTTTTAGCAAAAAGTCATTCAACTTAAATTAGTTTTACCAAAATAAAAAACGTTCAACTTACGAGTTTTAGCAAAAAGTCATTCAACTTAAATTAGTTTTACCAAATTAAAAAACGTTCAACTTACGAGTTTTAGCAAAAAGTCATTCAACTTAAATTAGTTTTACCAAATTAAAAAACGTACAACTTACGAGTTTTAGAAAAAAGTCATTCAACTTAAATTAGTTTTAAACGTTCAACTTACGAGTTGTAGCAAAATATCGTTCAACTTACTAGTTTTATCAAAAAATCGTTCAACTTAAACTAGTTTTATAAAAAAAATAGTTCAACTTACTAGTTTTATCAAAAAATCGGTCAACCTAAACTAGTTTTATCAAAAAAATCGTTCAACTTGCACTAGTTTTATCAAACAAATCGTTCAGCTTACGCTAGTTTTATCAAAAAATCATTCAACTTGCACTAGTTTTATCAAAGAATCGTTCAACTTACTAGTTTCATCAAAAAATTGTTCAACTTATTAATTTTATCAAAAAATCATTCAACTTATTACTAATTTTATCAAAAAATCGTTCAACTTGCACTAGTTTTATCAAAAAAGCATTCAACTTACTAGTTTTATCAAAAAATTGTTCAACTTACTAGTTTTATCAAAAAATCATTCAACTTATTACTAGTTCTATCAAAAAGTCGTTCAACTTACTAGTTTCACCAAAATACCGTGCAACTTAAACTACGCTTATCAAAAAATCTTTCAACTTACTAGTTTCACCAAAATATCTTGTAACTTAAACTAGGCTTATCAAAAAATCTTTCAACTTACTAGTTTCACCAAAAAATCGTTCAACTTATACTAGTTTTACCAAAAAAAGTCATTCAACTTATACTAGTTTTACCAAAAAAGTCGTGTAACTTAAACTAGTTTTATCAAAAAGTCATTCAACTTACTAGTTTTACCAAAAAAATGTTTAACTTAAACTAGTTTTATCAAAAGGTCGTTCAACTTACTAGTTTTACCAAATAATCGTTCAAATTACTAGTTTTACCAAAAAGTCGTTCAACGTAACTTAAACTAGTTTTACCAAAAAGTCGTTCAACGTAACTTAAACTAGTTTTACCAAAAAGTCGTTCAACGTAACTTAAACTAGTTTTACCAAAAAGTCGTTCAACGTAACTTAAACTAGTTTTACCAAAAAATCGTTCAACGTAACTTAAACTAGTTTTACCAAAAAATTGTTCAACGTAACTTAAACTAGTTTTATCACAAAGTCGTTCAACATAACTTAAACTAGTTTTACCAAAAAATTACTATGACCAAAAAACTAAAGAGACAATTATATAATCTCCTCAAGTTTGATTTGTAATACTTCCTTCCTTTATGATTGATGATATGCTTATCTTTCTCATTCTTATAAACTTTAATGACTTGGCTACATAATTTGTTATAGTTAAGTGAAAACGTCATGGAGTTCTTACTTCTGG